TGACTGCTGCTGGCCAGACGCTTACCTGTATTCCTGACTAATAGATGTCCAATTCCCACTCTATTTCTAGATTTCAGCAGCCCAACTAGATCCCTGATTCTGTTCTCCTCTGGCTGGTTCCTGGTTCCTAGGTCTGTCTACTGATTCTTCTCCACCATTGGTTCTGATGCTTCTTCCTACCTCTAGCTTCGCTCACTTGTAAATAGCCACTTTAGCCAAGAAAAATACACCCTTTTTTTTTTTTTTTGAGGAAGATTAGCCCTGAGCTACCTGCTGCCAATCCTTCTCTTTTCACTGAGGAAGACTGGCCCTGAGCTAAAATCCGTGCCCGTCTTCCTCTACTTTATATGTGGGACGCCTACCACAGCATGATGTGCCAAGCGGTGCCATGTCCACACCCGGGATCTGAACCGGCGACCCCCAGGCTGCCAAAGCGGAATGCCCACACTTAACTACTGTGCTACCAGGCCGGCCCCCAAAATCCACCCATTTTGAGGATGGTGTCATAATATAAGTACTAGGTAGTAAGAAAGGAACTGAGGAGGCATTGGTGGGAACAGAAAGGAAAGGACTTTTGTTTCGTAATGGAGGATTGATTAGCACTTGTGATGGATTAGGCATAGAGGGTGGAAGAGTTGGAACAAAGAAGACTTACAGGTTTGGGCCAAAATGGAGAAAGAATATGCCATAATGAAAATAAGCCTTAATAACTATTAATTTGCATATAGCCTTCATGGTCCACAAAGCATATTCTTTTGTGTTCTGTCATTCACCCTCACAACAACCCTGTTATGAAAATTTTATATTCTTGTGCTAAAGAAGAAGAGAAGAGATCAAGTGCTTTGCTCAAGGTCATAGTACAAGTTAGTTCAGACTACCAAATTCCTACTAATTTTATGACTGTAGATCTGTTCTTCACTTTGTGGTAAACATCTGATACTGTACAAAGCATAAAGGTAATTTGCATTGTTTTCCTACTGGGTCCTGTGATGAGGGCCATATTTACAATGTTGCAATTAGTCACACTTAACACAGGGTTAGAAAATGCATGGTATGCGTGTCGCGTAGCTTTTTCTGCACTGGTGAAAGACATCACTCATCAGTCATCTCGGTCTTTCCTGCTGAGTCTGCAGGCTGCCTCACAGTCCTTCTCAATATATTACTCTAGGCAACTACCACTAATAAATCAGAGTTGTCTGAAAGTTGAAACTCATTTGCCATTCTGGCACTAGAAGCTTGAAATGATGCGTATAGTCTGATACAAAACTCAATACTATGACATACTTGGTTTCTTGTCCCTCAGGATAGGCCTTCCTATTCCCACATCTGAGGCCAATTAACTCCAAGAGCATCAAGTCAGACTTATTAAACCTGCCCTAACCAAGAGCCTACTAATTGGGCTTATTCCTGATTCCTGGGGCTAAGCCTCCTCTTTTCACCCAAGGTCTAGAAACGGATGGCCCATCTTGTTCCTCACTTCTGAAGTTCTGTTTCATAAGCCAGGTCCTCTAAGGTAGGCTCTTACCATGAGTTCTCCCTTATATTCCTAGAGTCTAGAGTCCTGTTCCTGCTGTCTAGTGTCTGTGACTGCATCCCTATATCGCTTCCCTATTACTGTGAAACAAACCATCCTTTACTGTAAAGGCTTGAGAGAGTAATGAGTATTAACCTTTTGTATAAATCTACCATTTTGGTAGGACTTTTCAAGAATGACTCCTCTCTGCTCCATGTAATGTCAGCTGTTTTTATTTTGTTTTATTTTTTCCTGATTCCAGTTAAATAGAGTTTTATTTTATTTTTTATAGAGTTCATAATAGTTTACATCGTTGTGAAATTTCAGTTGTACATATTTTTTGTCTGTTACCACACAAGTACTGCCCTTCACCCCCTGTGCCCACCTCCCCAGCCCGCTCCCCGTGGTAACCACTGAACTGTTTTCTTTGTCCATATGTTTGTTTATATTCCACATCTGAATGAAATCATAGGGTGTTTGTCTTTCTCAGTCTGCCTTAGTTCACTTTGTCTTATGCTCCAGATCCTCCCATGTCGTTGCAAATAGGATGATTTTGTCTTTTTTTATGGCTAAGTAGTATTCCATGGTATATATATATACCACATCTTCTTTATCCAATCATTGGACAATGGGCGCTTGGATTATTTCCATGTCTTGGCTATTGTGAATAGTGCTAAATACGGAGTTTTAATTTCATAGCTTAACAATGAATGATCATACAATGAAGTCAATACATATACCTATCACTTCAGTCTAAGCTTGTCCGTGTACATAGCTGAAAACAATTACAAGATATGGTCTAATAAATGCCAGAGGGCCTTTTAAAAAAAACAAAGAAATGTTCATAGGCATTTCAGGGGAGCAGGATTTGCCACACCAAAATATGCCTCTTTGCATAAGGATTATTTTAGGCTGATTATTTTTAAGAAACAGCAGACACACAAAAAAGTTCTGAAAATTGAGTAGAAGTTACTCTTTTGTAAGAGACATTTATATTTATAAGGGAAATCTCCATTTGAAACGCTGTCTCCCTCCTACACGAGGAAGAGAGGGATGACTCTAAATCTCAAGAAACTCATCAATGGAGAAGGTGGAGACTTAAGTCTACCTAACAACCTTACCCTTGTTTACTGTGCTTTTCCTGGTAACTTCCTATAACTGACTTTCCCACCGTCAACACCTTATTTGGTCTTTAGTTGGAAATGGTATTTAAGTTGGTGGCTTGGACCATTTCAGGGAGTTACTCAGTTTTCCTGGGTATCTCCCATGTATGCAGGAGTTATACATGTTATTAAACTTTTGTTTATTTTTCTCTTGTTAATCTTTCTTTTTATTACAGGGAAGTGTATGGGGACAGAATTTCCTATCCCAAATTGTGTCTCTTTGGCTTGATTATTTTTAAGAACAAAAGACTCAGGAAGAAACTTTGAACTTCTCCCTAATTGCCTAAAAGAATTTAAGATAGGCAGCTTGTTCCAGGAAGGAGCTAATACCATAGGTAACTATAGTATAGTATGAACTAGGTGTAGTAGACAGGGAGGAACCTAGCAAGGCCCATTTGATCAAAGTCCTCCCCATGTCCCATTGTCTCTGCAAGTCATAGCAAATATTTGTTTACCAGACATTTGCTTTTCCATCTCCATGTGAATTGCCTTCCGCCCCCTTGAAGTCCTAAACCACTACCCCCAACATCTTCCTTTGTCTTTAGCTGAAGATGATGTTTAAGGTGGTGGCTTCAGCCATTTTGGCAAGTTACTCAGTTTTCCTGGGGTTCTCCATATATACAGGTTATTAAACTTGTTTGGTTTTCTCCTATTATTCTGTTGCATGTCAATTTAACTCTTAGACCAGCCAGAAGAACCTAGAGGAGTAGAGGAAAATTTCTCCCTCTCCTACAGGGTTCTCAGTGAAGAACCTAGAGGGATAGAGAATTATTTTTCCTCCTCCACAATATTAAGCTTCATTTTCCATATGAAAGATCCTCTTTCAAGAGGGTCATTCATGTGATTGGCAATCTGATTCTATCTTTGGGAGCTAATCCAGGGCTATGGGCCAAGGTCTTTAGTTTCTCTCTTCTTGAACCTCTCCAAGGCTGCTTAGGCTTACTCACAGCATGGTGAGTGGATTCCAAAAGCAAGTGTGCCAAGAGTGCATGATATTCTTTTGATCTAAACTCAGAGCCACTTGGGTCATACTCTCTTGGTCAAAGCAGTCACATAGACCCACCCAGGTTCAGGAGAGGGCACACAGACTTCACCTCTTCATGGAGGAATAACAAAGTTCTAGAAGAATTAGATATCTGGAGATATGGTTATGATAATCTTTGGGAAAACGCAGTCTATCATAGTCTCCTTGCAAGACTCTATTGCCTTTGTCCCTTTAGACACTGTCAGATTACTTTTCCCACCTTTGAAGATATTGACCTCCTATCTACTGCTAGATCTCCCAGTCGCCAAACACCTGGATCTCCATTTAGTGGCCCACTGTTACAGTTGATAATGCTGCCGCTATAGTATATCCTTTTATTTGTAATTCCTTCTACTGCCTACATTTGGAACATACCCAGAAGGTCTTACTGAACTTGAAGTTCTGCTGTCTATGACCAAGAAAGCCTGGGAAAATAAGATGATTGAGAGGAAAAAGAATGTCTTTTAGAAGCAACGGGACCTGGTTTCAAATCTCAGCTTAGTAACTGAACTCTGGGAAGCTTACCTCTCTTAACCTCAATTTACTTTTCTACCAACTGAGTATAATATGATTTTCATCTCATAATTGTCATGAGAATTAAATATGGTAATGTTAATCAAATAGGCTAACCCAGTAGCAGGTTTATTGAGTAGCTTAAAAGCTGTGGGGTATTCATATAAAAAGTTTATTTTTTTATTCATTTATTACTTTGAACCATGGTCTGTTTTTACATGTTTTTTCCTGTACTCAATGTCATCTCTAGCATTTTTTTTTCCATTTCTTGTATTTCTGGTTACTTTAAGTTATTACAATTTCTTTACAGTTAAACTCCCACCTTGTGCCCAGTTTAACATTTCCTCCTCCCCAAGGTGCAGGTCAGGTATTTATTTTGGGTAACTTGGAGAGGTGAGAGAGTCTGGTCTGTCTGCTTTTGTACTCTGCCTTCCAGTCATCACCATGGAGTTGAGGTGGGGGATGTTGAGTTTGGCTGAGTGTGGTTTGGCTGTGAAATACTTCTCCCTCCCCCTCGTCTGAGTCTGGCTTCAATGTGGTTGGAGGGCACAAGGGCCATGGGAGATACGAAGAGAAAAGGTCTGACCACTTGTGAGTCATTCCGGCCTCACTCTGTCCAGGCAGATTTTGTCTGTTGCTCATGGTCTCTGTTGATGGTGGACTTGGTTGTGGAGAAGATAGTGTCCAGTTTCACCCCGGCTCCCTGTCAGTGAGGACCCCCTGAGAGAGGAGCAGCACTACCTCCAGCCCTCCAACAGTCTGTGTCCACCCCTGTAATGGCTGTTACCTTAATTGGCCATTGGTCACCTGGATAGTCCCAAACTCCTTCTTCCTCTACCCTCTTTGCCTCTTCGCATAGAACCGGAGGAACCACTGAGGTTGTCATGGAACAGAAGTCGGAATGCCCTCCTATTCTTTGCTTCACAAATACATTACCCCACACACTCTCTGTAACCCATGTCTCTCTCTGCTTTGTCTATGAGCTGCCAGAGCAAGTGTAGCCAATTCAGTAATGTGCAGTTGAGAATCCAGCACCAGGTCTGTTGTTACCAGACTCCAGGGCAAACATGTTAGGCTTTCCCAAGCACTCTTTCACAATGTTCTTCTCTGAGGGTGGCCTTGAGATGGGCCTGTAGCAGCTACAGCTGGAGTCATCCCTCCTCAAGGTTGGGGTTTTCAACTGCTCCTTTTTGCCAGCTGCCCTGATCTGTAAGAGTGAATCCCTAAGAACCTTCTCCATCACTTGCTTGTGTTGGGGTGGGCATCCCACCAGGAAGGACATTATTACCATTCCCCCTGCTTATTTTTTTTTATGATCTTGCAGCCCAGCTTCTGTGCAGTCCTTTATTCCCTGCTCCTCAAGTGTGAGAAGTCCCAGGAAACAAAGAAGCACAGTTTCAGCAGACTTTCATAGGAGCACCAACATTTTGTCTGAGTCTGACAAGAACCAAATGTAATTGGAGGCCTCTCCGAGGTGTGATGCTCACTGTGAACACTGGGGCTATCTATCTTTGTGTAACCAATATGCTTTTGGGGGATTTATTTATCTTTTACGAGAAAGCATGTAAATCGTGCGTGCTCCTATTTAAGTTAGGTACTAACAGTTTCTTTAGAGATTCTGGGCATATTAAAATACTAGCTGTGAAGCAGCAGAGAAGGAAGCTGTGCATTGTTAATCCTTCCTGTGACAGAACCATTAAACAGCAACCCTTGAAGGCTTGCTTATAAGGATGGTGTTTTCTCCACCCCGTACCAAGTATGTGCGTGGGTATGGGGTGCCCTTCCTGGCAAGCCTGTAAGCTGTCAGAGCTGTGATGGCTGCTATTTTTGTGGCAAACTGATTATTGGCCTTCATTGAATATTCACAGCTCTATTAGCTAAGACCCCTACTGTTTCTCAGGGAGTAAAAACTGGTAGACTTCCAATTTTCTGTGCCCACTCTGTGCCATAACAATGGCCCCAGGACTGCTATTTTCAACTGAATCTGGAATGAGAGATCAATTATATTCTCTTGTTCATATTTGCCAGTTATATTTGCCAGTTTTTTGCAAATCATTTTTAAAGTTGTCTGCCCTCAATTTTTAAGTCATCAATGCTATGGATTTATATAGTGGACTCCATTCCTGGTGGAACTGAAACCTGTTTCCCACCCATCTGACCTTGACTGGTGCACGATATATGTCAATGTATAGGATTGGATGACATGGTGCTTTTTAAGCCATTGGTTGCATCTTCTGCAGTATCTATAATGGAAATTTAGAATGTTGTATTCAGATGGCCTAAGGTTTCTAATGTCATTTTTGCCCTCTTCTCTTTCCTATTGAAAATTCTCTCATAGGTCCATAATTGCCTTGCTCAGTGTGGCACAAAAGGCCTTCTACAGTCTTACCCAGGGCCTTGTTTTCCCCATCTATTCTACAACACATGCTCCTTCCTAAACCAGCATTATCTTAATCCAGTATTCTAAAATGCCCAGGCAATATGCATTTTGGTACCATATTACTTACTAGTTTGACTCTTTTTGAATGTTTCATGAGATTTAGTCTTGCCTCCCATTGGATATTCCTAGCTAGACTGAGTGAAATCAGAGTCAGCATGATCCCTAAAATGTTTAGCAAACTAGAATTAATTTATTGAAAGCAGGAGCTAACCATTTGACTCAGAGGGTGAGGGATTTGGGAGAGGAGCAGTGGTGCATGTGCAGAAGCAAATTCTATATGTATGCCCTTCGCCTTCTTTGGGAGGAGCAGAGCTTACCAAGAGCAGAAAGACACTGCATAGGATACATGGTTTCTGCAGCCCTGGAGGCTACTATGACGGAGACCAGAAATTCACAAGGAAGCTGTGGAATTGGACTCCTGACTTCCTGGTTGGCACCGGGGCAACACATTTCTCTTTTTCCTTTCTACTCTTTTCTCTTTCATCTTTCCTAAATTTCTCCTCTATGATATTTGTTTTGATTTTCACATTGCTCAGTTATTTCATTGAAGGGAGAAGTTGCTAGTTGACGTTAATTCCAGTTGGAACATAGTATAAGTTTGCCTTTAGCTTGAAAGTTTTCATTCTGGATGAAACTAGACAGGCCAATAGAAACCCGTGGCCACCATAAAGTGTGTCAACTCTACTTAGTTTCTGTTTTCTCCACTGCTTGAATGCCAGAAATCATGTCTTGTATTATTTTGTTTTCTCTCTCCCAGTTTCCCCACTTCACTTAAAATTTACTCTCTTCATTCATTCTTCAAACATTTGTTAACCCTTACTATATGCAGGAATTGTTCTAATCTTTGGTGGTGAGATGGTGAGCAAGATCTAGCACCATTCTTATGCAGTTTACAGTCCCTGTGCTGTCCAATATGGTAGCCACTAACCACATGTGTCTACTTAAGTGAGAATTAATTAAAATCAAATTGAACTTCTCAGTCACATGAACCACAATTCAATTGCTCAGTGGCCACATGTGGCTGTATCTCTTCTATAGGACAGCACAGCAAAAGAACATCCCCATCATCACAGAAAGGTCTATTCGGGAGTGCCAGCAGACTCTAGTAGAAAAAAATATCCTGTGTACCTGTTCCCTTTTATTGAGCACATATTATGTGTCAGGTACTGAGCTAAGTGTTATGTGTACATTTTATCATTTTATTTTATCAATATCCTGATGAATTCAGAGTCGATATCCCCATTCTACAGAAGAGAAAGATGAGGTATAAGATTTAAGGATTGTCTGAAACAATATGTTATAACAAGCTTTTACTATTAATTTGAATGAGTGGGTTTAATCATTTAGATCTCATAGCTGAGGCAATGAGTGAACCTCGTATTCAGAAGTAGATTAAAGGGTGTCTAGAATACTGATCTATAAGTAAATTTAACATCTCCAGAATAATGCCAAAATTTAATATTAGTTTATTCTGGCTTCCACATGTGACTCCTTACGTAACGGCCAATTAGTACCCATTCCTCTGGAAGAAGAAAGTAGCTTCAGGAGAAACAAAACAGAACAAAAATTCTCACAACTACAGGCCCTGTCCCCACTAAATAAGTCTTGAACGAGTATTTAAAGCATATGGCTTTGAATGGGCATCAAATTATTAACCTGCTGAGAGTACTCATATGTCTTGGTCTGAGGGAAAATGGCTTTTAGGATCTAGTATATTTGATAATTTAGCGGTCTAGTGATATAATTAAGCAATTCCATACTCATTATTTATTCCCTCATTCAACAAATAGTTTCTCATGACCTATTCTGTCACAGGCCTGTGGCTAAGACTAGAAATACAAAGTTGAAGAAAGTGTCCTTCTCCCAAGGAGCTTGCAATCTAGTGAGGAACATAGAACATTACACTACAATAAGTGTTTGACCACTGTACCCGGGTAGACACTCCAGGATACAAAATAGCAGACATGACCTCAAGGAAACTTCTCACAACCAGGGGAGAGGGAAAATTCATGCAAATAAATATAACACAATTTAGAATTTGGCACATTCAATAGTGGTCAAGTATGCAAATGTGCCATATCAAATGTTATATATAATGAAACACTTTTTATAAATGTGGATGCATAAAAGAAGAGACATAGCTGCCACTTTGGGAGGGGATGAAGGAGGCAGAGGAGTTAGGAAAGGCTTTACAAAAGTGCTGGGATTTGAGCTGACCTCCAAGACTGCAAAGAATTGGAGGAAAGGATCTCACAGGCAGAGGATCAGCAGGAGCAAGAGCAAAAAGATCCAGAAATGCATGGCTTCTTCTCAGAATGGAAGGGTGAAGAGTCAGCTGTGGCCACATCTGGTTAGAGGAGGGAAGCCCTGATGGATCAGGCTGAGGGTTGCTGAGGATCTTGAATTAGTTATGCTGAGGGATTTAGGGCTCTTCAAAAGATGATAACTGTGTCCATAATTTAGAAAGAAGTTAAAATAAAGAACTCTCATCTGAAAACCTTTATCGAGTGGCAACAAAATGAACATTTTGTACTTATTTGTTTAGACAATAACTGTTTTAGTTTTCTCATTTGAATGGTTAAAGATTGAATGTGGTTCATTTTGAGGAAAACAGACAAAAACACTTTTGAATTCACAAGAGTGTTTTTCGGCTTTAACATTTCTTACTTTGTTAATAGTTCACACCCTGTGAATAATGCAGGAGCTGCATTCTTTCTCCATTGCCACTCAAAGTGCAAATTAGGAACTTCATCTCCTTAAGGTTTGAGCTTATAACTGACAGGTACAGATTCCCAGGGGCAGCAGTTAACTTCCTGTAAACTGATATAAGAATGAGTTGATGCCTCCAGAAGGGAAAGTTAATATGGTAGGTGAATTAAATTCCCTTTGCTCCAAAGAAAGACTTTTACTTAGCTATCTACCACCCTCCAGGATCCGTGCTTCAGAAATGTCTGGTGCAGAGCATGTCACCTCTGCTTGCAGACCAGCCGTCTAACACTCAGAGCATTGACTCAGACCCTAATAGACTGCCTGTATGACTGACAGAATGAGAAGACATGATTCACACCCACCAGGGCTTACTCTCAATCTGGAGAGAGGTGTGGCTTCAATTATTAGGTTTTAAAAGTATGACAATTACCTCCTAGAAAGTCCTTCTTCTGTGGTCTCAAGGTTGTTGCAGCAACTCACTCTGGGCTATGGGCACATTATGCTCTTTCACCTGCCTGGTGTTTTTCCAATCCTTGTGAAAGAAGGATGACTGGAAGAGTGAAACATATTAAAAGAGAAATGGAGCTGGGCATCTAAATAAAGTGATTGAGAGTCAACTCATGAGTATGTTCCATAAAAGGGCAAATCAAGAAATAGAAATCCAAAGGCCAAACATATTCGTTTTCTTACTCATTATGTCTGGCCTGGAGCTTTCCCGTCTTCCTCCTAATATCCTCTTCCTCCTTTTCAGTTGTTATCTTCCAATGGGGCAACCAATACTTGGGCCCGAGTCCTTGACCACAGTTGATGATTGTGTAGTGGACTCCTGATCCTAGCCTGACCAGTCCAACTCCTTCCTTGAGATGTTTCAAGCCACCTTTAAGAAGACAAGAGGAACAGTTCCCCTCTAGTATTGAAACTTTGAAAAGTGAGCCTTGGGCTCAGCTAGTGGTCATATTTCTACTATGTGGAGAAAGCTCGACTGGGAGAAGGAAGCCGCTATGTAGAGAGAAGCATAGATGAAGAATGGAAAGAGAAAGTTCTAGAGGCATTCAGATATCTATGTCGTCCCTGAGAAGCTAAATCTCTGTGCCTGCCAAGATTATGTGAAATAGCCAGTATCCAACCAATCAATCTTTATTTCTTCCTAACTGAGTTAAGATACCTTTCTATTACTTGCAACCAGAACATTCTTGATTAATACAAAAGAGTGAGTGTACTTGACGTTTTATGTTAATCTTAAATCAAATCCCTACATATCACAGAAATTACTGGGCTCTGTATTGGAGTTTTCTTCTTTTCTAAGCACCTCCCCCTGCTGATAACTTTCCATCTCTTTCATGTTTAGAGTTCTTTAATGCTTCTGCAAAACTTGTGAAGCCGTTAAAGTCCCAAACCTGTAAAATTCCCATGTTGCCATGCTAAATAAGCTCTGATTGTTTTTACTTGCTTTCTCGCATCCACAGACAAATTTCTAAAGAATGTTCCCTGTGAGTACAATAAATTCATAAGCCCTGGGATCTAAGAGCTGAACAAACCACATTGTGGGATAGGAAAAAGAAAGAATTTTTAAATGCTTCATTGGTTACTTTTCATCAGTTCCCATGTCTTACTCTCTTTTATTAATTATATTATAGCTGATTCACAATGTTATTAATTTTTGTATTTAAAATCAGCTCAAGGGATAGTATTTATTTTTTCTGAGGAAAGCAGATATCTAATTCATTTTTACAAGCTTTTGATTGTGTCTGAGTTCTTTATGAAATCACCTCCCTTTCTTTGCATTTCCTCTTAGCAGTTGCCAGGCAACTCCTATGATACTTGGCAAAAATATTCTGAGAGGATTTTTTTAGAATAAAATTAGTAGAGGCATAGACACCTTGTAATGTTGGATATTACAGTTGTTCAGATGTAAAATTAGCCACTATGAATGAGGATTATTACTTAATGTTATACGAAATGGGACTTACTGTCCAATTGTAACCTGGGTCTCCCACCTACAGTTTGCCTAAATTGCAAAGTATATCTTAATTCCTGATTTGAAAAGAAAATGAGGTTGATAAAAAAAAATAACAATGACTCTTTTATTGAGTTTAAAAAGGTGAGTGATGATAAATGAATTTGCCTAAGCATTTTCTTTCTGATTCAGCCTACTGCCCCAGACTAACTGACTCAGAGAAAAGCAATCTTTTCATTTCAGATTTCCTATTGAGAAAGAATTGGAAAGACCAAGGTGGGGATTTAGTTTCCTTTGATTATTTCTAGAGGCAACTCCATATAAGATACATTCTACTAATTTAATTATTATGCTATTGAACCCTTCTAAACAAGTGTGGTAGAAGAATGCTGGGAATATTAATTAGAAGTTCAAATGAGATAAGATACGTGACAGTGCTTTTAACACAATACTCCAGATTTAGATTTTTATTGTATTGGTGCTGGTGACGGTGGTAGTTTTTACTTTAAAGTTAAGAAGGAATCCAGTATGAACCCTTGCTGAGAGTGGCTGTCTCCTACATCTCATTCTACAGTTGATTGTTAAGTTTGGCCAATGAAAAAATGTATGTGGATTGGGAGAGACAAATGAAATTTTTGTGTTATTGGATATCCTCATTTGGAAGCCAGGTAGCTTTAGGAAAATAAGGCAGTTCTATTCATAATGGAAACCTCTCTATCTCCTCTCTAAATCCCATTCCTTCTGCTTTCATTTTGAACTATACTCAATCTCTCTCATTTTTCTCTATATTCAATTTATTTCTGTTAGCCAGAACTTTTCGCTGAGCGTATAAAGCTGTCTGAATCTATTACATCTTAAAACTAAAAAATATAAATAAGCAATTATTTCTTAATTATTTGGCCCTTGACAGGGATATCCTCATGCCTCACCTTCCTTTTATACCTGAATTTCCTGCTGTGTGGTGGGCCTCCACTTATTCCTCAACCAATTGTTATTTGGTTTCTCCTCCCTCTGTGAAAGGTCTTTCTCTCGGAACTGAAGTTGCTGATTCCATTGATTTGTCCTCCACAGAATTTGAAACTCGTGACAATTAGGTTCTTTTCAAAGTTCCTCTTTAGTTTTCAGTTTCATCATTTGATCCTGCCTTCACTCTCCCTTCTTTGAATGGTTTAAGGGCACTTTCTAATCAAGTTGTTTCAGTATCAGTATCCCTCAGTAGTCTAGGCTCCCTTACCCCCTGACTCTATGTATTCTCCCTGAGTGATTTAGTCAATCCTGAGATTTCTACACCGTCAGTTTTCATGACTCCAAAGGGGTGTGTGTGTGTGTCAGAGAGAGAGAGAATGAGACTCCAACCACGTGTCTTTCCTTAGCTCCAGAGCTATTCAAAATCCTTTGAACTTCTCAGTGTATATGACCTGAAAAAAACTAAAATTTAACGTGCTTCAAATGAACTCATTCCCCACAAGACATTTTCACATTCTCCTTATTCCCATTTTCACTGAATAGCATGGTTATTCACATAATTTCCCAAGCCACAATTCAGACCTGTTCTGAACTCCTCTCTCACTTTCCATCCCTAAATAATTGTCCATCAAACTAGAATATCTATCTCTTAAATATTTTTCAAATCTGTCTTCTCCTCTTCAGCTCTATTGTCTCTACCATAACAATTTATAATCTCTTTCCTGATAGCTTAATCACATAGTCCTCCAAAGGCCAACTCTGTGCTTTCACAGTCCTTCCTCCTTACACTTGCTTGATTAAGGACAGAGTAAGATTAAAGAGAAAGTTATGCATTTTTCATTTTTCGTAGTAGCATGTAGATAATTCTAAGAAATCATTTTATATAAAAACAAACATAGCTGGGAGCTAGAGAGGAAGTGCATGTGGTTTTCCTAGTGAAATATTAGCAAGTGAATGTGTTTGAGTAGGAATACTAAAAAAAATTCCTTTTCACTGATGTGGAGGGACGAGTATTTCTATATCCATCTGGATCTTCTGAACTTAGTTATGGTTCATATATTCACCAAATCCAAGGAATTTAAAAAATTCTACTAAAGCAAGGCCTGACTTTTAAATGTGATCATCTAAGTGTTCTAGTTTACAGAAGTGGAACGAACTTCCATCTGTTGCCTTCTTGAATGGTGCTGCGTTTCTTTCTCCTGCCAGAATTAATTATGAATGATCCTCGAGATTCTTGGTTCCTGGCCTGGAAGACTAAAGCCACAGCGTTCAACCCCACCTTCTCCCTGATATGAAATACTCCAGTAGTTACAGGTGCCTTTGGCATTAGAGAATTCTGAAAATTTTCTGCTATATCAAAACATTTGAGAGACTACATCCTGCTGCCAATTAGTGTAAACTCTGCTTATCCAGGGTTTTTACCTTCCTGATGAACTATGATATGGTAGTGACTCCTGTATTAGCATCATACACGTGTTTGCACATAGACAATTACTGTCACGACAAATGGGATTTAAAAACAGGGGCAGATCCATACCAGGAGAAATGTGAGGCCAATGTACTGGGGATAATGGTGTGCTTCGTATTTCATCTTGATGTTTTGAAAAAGAATAAGAAAAAGGGTTGTTCTTAAGTCAAAGGTTTATTCAGTGGAGACTCTCTTTGAGAACATTGTTAGTGAAGTACTAGGAGTTTAAAACAAAATACAATAGACTAAGAAATGAATAGAGGACAAAAAAGGTAGAGACAAGTGAGAGCAAACTCTCTTAAGAATCCTGGAAGTAAAAAAAAGAGAGAGAGAAAGAAATAAGAAAGTAGCTTGAGGGAAACAGAGGATTGGGGATCTTTTATAGATTAAAAACAAATATATTCTTGCACAAAAGACAAGATAATAAACTCTTCATTATTAAAAGAAAGAGTTAATTTTTTAATGTTTTTCTTTTCTCCGTACTGGCTGCTTGCTGAAGCAATATCTATCTATATATGTGTGTGTAGTTCCCATATATCCACAATAAAAGATTCTCCCCTTGAGAATGGCAGTGCAAGAGATGGCATTGTGTAGAGAATCTCAGTTCTGCTGTGTCTCAAATAGGAGGAACTTTTTTTCAAGTATCTAATATCCTCATGAGATGACAGGTATGTCCTAGACATTACCAGTGGATTATCATTTCCTGAAAGCAGGGCCCAAGTTGATAATTCATTTGCATCATTTTCAGTATCTGAGTGCAGTGATGTGCTTATGGAACTTGAAGTGGGATTGGGGGTTTACAAACAAAGAAGGAAGGAAGAGTGTGTCCAGTGTCCCTTTCTTGCTCTGTTTCCATACTATTTGTACATGGTAATATCTTTAGTCTCCCAAATCAAGAGGACTTACAATTTCTGAAGATTTCTCATTTAGTATTCTTGTTTATTGTGATAAAATCAGTAGTAAGATTCTTGCAGTTTTGTAACACATTATAATTTACAAATACTTTCATTCTAATTATCACACATAAGCAAACAGATTCAGTGATTTAAGTGACTAGAATAAAACCACGTTATTAACAATTAGTGAACCCAGCATTAGGTCTTTCTGCAGTCGACCAGTCACGTGTTTTTTTCTACCACAACATGGTTTGACCATTGAGTATATGCCATAGAAAATAACTGTGATGTTGTCCAGCTGGTTTAGGTTGTTTTCTTTGTTATGATCTCATGGTGAGCAGACTGATTTCTAAAGCAGAACAGGTAGATAGCAGGAGAGAAAGGGGGAAATACAAGCTGAGGAGACCCACTGAACACACTGTCGAAGTGTGGTTGAGCACAGTTGGCACATAGGAATGATCCCTTCCAGATGGAAGTCATCTGCTGACTCAGCTTGGCTTCATTCAGTCCCCTCAGACTCCCTGGATGATTTCCTGTGACATAGCGGCAGCCAGTTCATGAGTTGGTGTCAGCTCTTTTTATGATGCCCAACTTCCTGGGCTGCAATGGCAAACACTGTTGCCCGAACTCTGACTTTGTATCCTCTGCATCGTTTCATTAAAGCATTGTCTACTGTTGCTAACTTTGACTGTATTTTTGTTTCTCTTACCTTTGTCTGAAATTCTGATGGAAATCTCTAATTTCAGTTTAAGATTGCTGCCCCAATATTTCACTCCAGTTTCTTGATTTCATTCCCGTTGCTCAGTTCTACTAAATGATGTAGACCAAGTACAATACTAAGAACTCTTGAGTGCTTTTAGCAGACAAGCTTCTGTTCTCTTATAATGCTTTATTAGTCTCCCAATATAGTTTTATTTTTATGTTATTTGTTTGTTTGTTTCCCCTTAAATCTGTATTTGGCCTAGAAGGAATGAAAAGATAGAATCATAGAGTCTTACAGTTGAAAGAACATTTGGGATCATTGTAGACTCTGATTGTTGATGCCTTAAGGTTTATGATAGTATCTCAAGATTTACTCTTGGGGCCCTTCACCCTCCATCTGCCCTAGAGCAGATCCACCTTTTTCTGTTCTGTTTTACTGATGTTCTTTATCTAATTTGTTTAAAATAAATACAAAGTGTTCTGCTGCCTTATGAAAACAAATACATTTTTTTTTTTCCCTGAGGAAGATTTATCCTGAGCTAACATCTATTGTCAATCTTCCTCTTTTTGCTTGAGGAAGATTTACCCTGCGTTAACATCTGTGCTAATTCTCCTCTATTTTGTATGTGTGTCACCAACACAGCATGGCTGCCAATGAGTGGTGTAGGTCCACGGCCAGGGGCTGAACCCAGATCACCGAAGCAGAGTACACTGAACTGAACCACTAGGCCATGGGCCCAGCCCCCAAACACTAATTTTGAAAAACACTAATTAAGTCTAACATTCTGTTTTATAGGTGACACAGCTGTTGCTCTGAGTGTTTAAACAACTTTCCTAAACTTGTTTTAAATTTAGAAATGTCTCCAAATTCCTAACCTGGAGGGTCTCTTTTTTCCTTTATACAACTGTCTTTATAACATATCTATCAACCCAAAGAAGCTACATCCATGTTCATGTTCCCCCTCTGTGCCTTTGTTGGGCTTTTGTGACAAAAAATTGCCAGACAACTGTGACTGTGTAATGACCATTAGAGACAGCATCAGAAGACAGGCTCTAGTCCTAATTTCAAGTTACTACGTGTGAGTTGAGTCTAGATATGCATGCTTACTTGTGTGCCATACAGGCTTGTGGGGAGTACTTTTCAGCTTACATACTCTCTATGATAATGCTGGAGTTGTTATCAGTAGATGTTGTATATGTGCTCTGTGGCCTCTAAATCTGGCCCCTGCCTCTTTTGACATCTTCATTTAATATCAGGGCACCCTTGATGATTTTGCAACAATCATGCTGACCTTTTGAATTCTCATGCACAATAAAATATTCTCTGCTTCTAGGTCTTTTTGTTCCCTTTGACTGGAATATTTTCCTACTAATCTTTTGCGGCTGGATCCTTTTTATTTTTCATGTCTCGTCATGTCCCTCCTTGATTATCTCGTCTAAAATAGATTCTTCTAATTATTATCTCATATCACCACCTTGATTCTTTTATTATTAGTATTTCTTACAAAATGTAGTTATGTTGTTACTTTATTTCTTCGTTTATTCTCTGTCCCCAGAATCACCATGAGAGAGGGAGCCTTTCTATCTTGTCCAGTGCTGTATCTCCTGTGCCTGACAACATGGTGGATGCTCATGCTTGTTAAATGTTTATTCAATAGTGGAAGGAAGGAAGGGTTCATTAAGGCTTGTATCCCATTCTCCTCACATGGCAGTGCTCGCTGCTGCATGTGAAGACACACCTCAACATTTGGAGTCCTCTTTAGATAATCTGGTAAGTGATGATGTCCACTGTAATTATTTTATAGTGTAGCTGTCGACAAGATTCCAAAGCTTGCCTCCACATAATTATCTATGACTCTATTGACACTAGTTTGTATTGCTGCATTGTCTGATACCTACAGATATTGAAAATATTATTTATAAACTTCATTTATGGTAGAATTGGAAGGAGCACTTGTTTAGCATAGGAGCCAAGGTTGTCAGTGACACTTATGTGCTGCAAATCCTTTCTCCCCCTAGCTGCCTCTTTTCCGTGTCATTTAGGATTTTTTTTCCCTCCAAGCTTGACATAGTTGGGATCTCAGCTCATAAAAGCCTGTCTCCCTCCCCTGCCTTTACCTCAACAGAATAAAGCACAGTTACTTTGATCCTGAAGTTTGAACTCTGAAAAAGCCATTCTCTGAGAGAAACAGTCCTCCACAGTGGAATTTACTGTTTTATTTATTGTGTTAGACTAACTCTTAAGATATTTTGTAAGAGAATGAAGCAGGTATTAATGTTCTCCTGGTGTACCTGGCTGGGACTTTTGGTAGCACCTAAGGGTTAATATTGGGTGTTTAACTGGGCTGTTAAGCATAGGAATTTGCAGAGAGGTCCTTCCACACAGTTGGAAACCTGAATTTCTCATGTGAATAGGGCACAGCTTAAATATGACACCCCCAGAACAATAGCAAATGATTGCACATCATGAAAGGGAGGTCTGTAAGGAAATATATTTACATATCGTATTTCTGAATTCAGATGGTTTATCAATGGAGAAAAGCAACCTTTATGTAATTTCAGGTGAAATTTTTTATTTATTAAAAGTCCTTATTTGAAAGTAAGTACTACCAGATAATCGCAGACTAAAATTAATCAATATGTATTTTAATTTGACATGTATCCCCTCTCCTTTATCTAGTTCCTGCCTGAGTTTTACTTTTCTAATAAATGTGTATTTACATAAATGTTTGTAAATTCTTAATATATGGCAACTGATTATGGGAAGAGTGATCCAGAAAATTCTGAATGGTCACGAGAATGTAGCCCAAGGTTAAAAATCTGCTGCAGGGACTTAAGAAAGGATCAATTTTATGTTAAGTGTAGAAAACTATATAGAAAATGTTGTTTATTTATTCAGTGAATACATATTACATGCCTACTATGCACCCAATATGCTCTAGGGACTAATAGGTAAGACAACTTCCTTGTTCCCATGGATTTTATTTGCAAGTAAAGAGACACAGATAATAATGAATGATTGGCAAATTAATGAATAGACAACAAAATTATTTAGGCAGTGATAAGTGCTATATAGTGAATTAAAGAGGGTAATAAAGGAAGGAGATGAAGGACAGTGTATGATTATTTCCTGCAGACTGATGGTTAGAGAAGTCCACTGAAGTCAAATTTAAGCCAATCTCTGAATGATAAGGACAAGGCAGTCCCTGGGAAAAGTATCCCAAGTAATGCTAAGACACTAAGGTAGAAATGAGTATAGCATGTTTGAGGAACCAGAGAAGGCTAGGATGGCTGAAATGTAGTAGGTGAGGTAGTGTTATAAAATGAAGATTGATAAGTGGGTGAGGCAGATCATTATTTTGTAAGCTTTAGAAGCCAGGGCTTAGAGTTTGAATTTACTTCCAAGTTTAATAAGAAGCCATTAGAGAATTTTAAGCAAGAGAAATACAAGATTTCGTTCTTGTTTTGAAAAAGGTCACTTTGATTGCCATAGAGAGGGTGATGGATGAGAGGAGGCAAAAACAGAATCAGCAAGGAAAATAATTAGGTGGCTCTTGAAATAATCCAGACAGAGATAATGGTAAGTGGGACTAGGGTGGTAGTCATGGAAAAGAGTGGATGGTTTCAGGTATGACTTAGAGTTAGAATCAACAGGACTTGCTGACTGATTGAATATGAGGGAGAAGGGAAAGAGAGAAATCAAGGAAAACTTCTGGATCATCGGAATGAGATAATTATAGATTGGGATTCCATTTACAAAAAGGGCGGAGGCTGGTATAGAAGTAGGTTTTGACATTAAGTCAAGAGTTCTGTGTTGTCCATGTTAAGATTAAATTTGAGATATAAGATATCCATGTGGAGATACAAAGTAGTCAGTTGGAAATAAGAAGCTGTAGTTCTCAGCATTAAAATATTTAAAGTCTTGAGGTGGAATGAAGTTACCTAACAAGAAAGTAAAGAAAGAAGAGAGATCCTTTGAGGAATCCAGCATGTAGGGGTTGAGCACAGGAGTAAACACACCCAAAGGCGAGGTAAGAATGACCAATAAGGTAGGAGAATACTGGAGAATAGGAAACCATAGAGGCGAGAAGGAAAAGAAAAAGTGTTTCAACTGTTTTGCATACTATTGGGAGATCAGTTAAGTGTTTGTAACAAAGTAACAGATGCACTAGAGAAATGGTCAATAGTCCTGAATTCTAGGCTTCACTTTTTCACTTGTGTGCTGGGTACTTCACCTCTCTTATCTCTTCCCCTTCAAATCTAAAGTCAGTCGCCATTTCCCTGCTTTTCTGCCCATTTCACTAAATCACAGCCGTCTTTTTTATTTTATTTTATTTTTTTATTGTATCATTTCATTTATTAAAACATTCTAGAAAATGCAAACTTATTTTTATTCGAGTAACATTAGATTATAACATTATATAGCTTTCAGATGTATATCGCAATATATTTCAAATTCTGTGTAGATTCCATCATGTTCACCACCCAAAAACTAGTTATAGTCCACCACACATAGGAGCCTAATCACCCCTTTTGCCCTCCCCCTTCCCTCTTCCCCTATGGTAACCACCAATCCAATCTCTGTTGCTATGTGTTTGTTTGTCGTTTTCATCTTTTACTTATGAGTGAGATCATATGGTATTTGACTTTCTCTCTCTGACTTATTTCACGTAGCGTAATACCCTCAAGGTCCATACATGTTGTCACAAATGGCCGTATTTCATCATTTCTTATGGCTGAGTAGTATTCTATTATGTATATAAACCACATCTTCTTTATCCATTCTTCCCTTGATGGGCACCTAGGTTGCTTCCAAGTCTTGGCTATTGTGAATAATGATGCAGTGAACATAGGGGTGCATGTATCTTTATGCATTGGTGTTTTCAAGTTCTTTGGATAAATACCCAGCAGTGGAATAGCTGGATCATATGGTAGATCTATTCTTAATTCTCTGATGAATCTAAATTCTGCCCAGAATCTTTTTCAACACAGTCCCCATGGCCATCCTGGCTGATCTGTGGAAGTTGCTATGTGAAATGACATTTTATAATCCTGCTATAACTGTTCTTTGGATCATTTACAACTTTAGTTCTATTTTATGTTTGAAACAAAATGATATGTGATACCTTATTTTTAAAGTCAACTCAAGTAATAGTTTTGTTTTAGTCTTAGTTCTTGTCTTTTGTGGTATTATCTTGCAAATGCTTATCTGACTTTGCAAATGTATTTTATCATCCTAGAATTTGTAGATTTACTATGTAAATAAACTATTTTTCAAAATAGCTGAAGAGTTCTACATAGTGCATGAATGACTTAGGGGCTTAACTCTCCATTTTCCTAATTTTCCTTTCATAGAGTTGATGATGAACTTTACTATGGATAAAATCTGGAAGCCAAAAGAAGCAAGATTAGATGTGATATCATAACAAGAGAATCTATTTACATTGTTGGAATTAAGGGTCAAAGAAGAGTTTTTAGGCAGATGATGAATGAGAGTAAGTAGGGACAGTGTGAGGCCAGGGGTAGAGGAAATGCGTTCCAAGCGGAAGGAAGAATGGTGTGAAAACTCTGTGGTGAAGAAGTTTATAGTCTTTTAGGAACTGAAAGAAGGCCAAAATAGTCAGAGTATGATGAGCCACAGAGAAGATTAGCCTCCAGGGATGGGAAAGGAATAATTAATATGGAACTTTTTAAACAATTTTTTTGGAACTTTGGATTTAATCCTTGGTTCAGTTGGAAGCCGTGAAATTAATGGGCAAGTGACCTAATCATACCAGCATTTTTAAAAGATCTCTGTGATGGTGCCCTGGAGAATAGACTGGAAAGAAGACAGGTGTAGGGAGACTTGCTGGGGAGCTCTTACGGTAGTTAGAAAGAGCCAGTGTGACCTTCGTCAGGGAAGTAGTTAGAGGAGATAGAAAGTTGAGTAGGTGCCAGGATTGTATCTGTCCTCTTAATAACCATCCATTCCATCAGTGGCCTACATACTTTGATTTCTAGTAGGAAATTTGATACAGGTAAAAGTGACTACATTTCAGCAATTCATGTTCTCTAAATAAATTTTACATGGTGTTTCAGGGGCCAGCATCTTTAGCTCATCTTACGAATGATTAACAGTTTTAGTTAAAGGAACACTTCTAAATGCCAGATTTGTTTATATCATAGGCCAAGCCAGGCCCCCTATATCTATGTTAATAAATATATAAAATACAGTCATAAAAATGCATAAGATACTACCAAGACGGAGGGGATGGTTTGGAGACAACTATGCTCTAGGCACTGGAGAACCAGATTTTTAGTTCCAGTTTTTCTTTTAGCTGTTCTCATGACCTAGGAAAATTTAACTTCTGGGTGCATTTACACTCTACACATATCTGTTTTAAAAATCAAGGAATAAAGTAATGGTGGAAATATTTAGAGACTGAAAAACCTTCTTTAAATGTTTATCATAAAAATATCATTTTAATGATATTATTGAAATGAACAGAATCAAGGGGGATTGTAATTCCATTTTTTCTCCTGTGCGTGGTTTTAAGTCAGGCCACCATTGCTGAGAAGATGGAATGCTTCCTTGGTTCTCATTCCACCATTAAATTTCACAGCTTTCACCTTATCCCGGAGAACCAGCCACATGAAATGAGCAGTCCAAACCCTACCCTTACAATGCTGGGATTTTGTGAAAGTGTAACCAGTAAGGAATCAAATCAGGACAGTGGTCACTGGATATTTAGTTAGAACTTTCTTGAGATAATTTTTTGTTTCACTTTCTGA